TCGTTCATGGGTTTGATTTTAGCATACAAGTTTCAATCTGCGATTCCTATGCTGAGTTCATTGTTTTCAAATTTTCTTTGTATTTAATATCGTGCAAGTGTAAGATCCATTGATCGGAGATAATTTCCCCCCCCCCCCCAAAAATTTCTTCAATTTTGGGGAAATTTCGTATTTAAGGATCTGATTATCAATATCGTTTCAATGGGTTGGTTGGAATTTTGTGTTGAGATTGTTTGGACCTTATCGTGTTTACTCTCTGATTGTGTTGAGGATAGATTTAATAGATCGTTTTGTTATCGTATTTTGGTTTTCTTGACTTTGTGTTTTGTGTTGTGGTTTGATTTGGATCTTGGGATAGATAAAGGAAAAATGGGGCTTAACTTCACAAAGTTGTTCAGCCGGCTTTTTGCCAAGAAAGAAATGCGGATTCTGATGGTAGGTCTTGATGCTGCTGGTAAGACAACTATCCTGTATAAGCTCAAGCTTGGCGAAATCGTCACCACCATCCCGACCATCGGTATGTTTTTAAGGATTCCTCGAATCAGAGCCTTTATCAATGTGTGTTTAGATCTTGCTCTTTTGTGTTTCTTACTTGTAATGTCTATGTGGATTTTATGTAATCTCTCTCATGCTCGTTCTGGTTTTCTGTTAATTGAAGTTTTTGCTTCTCAAGTTTAATGTTGAAGAGGCTTTTGTTCCAGGATTCAATGTGGAGACTGTTGAGTACAAGAACATCAGTTTCACTGTTTGGGATGTGGGGGGTCAGGACAAGGTACACATTCTAAGTCTTGCCTAGATCATAATATATACTTTAATCTCTGCGTCTGAGTTTTCAAGCTGCTCAGGATGTCAATGATATAGGCATGACTAGTACTGATCCTTTGTATTACCTGCTTATAAATATCATGCAAGCTCAATTTGTATAGTTAATTTCTACATTCATATTCACGTGGTTTTTATCTCGGAGTCCAGTTTCTGTTAGTGTTTGTCTTCTCTTTTTTTTTCTGTTATTTGACATTCAGAATGCGACTTCCCTGATTTACAGATTCGTCCCCTGTGGAGGCACTACTTCCAGAACACTCAAGGTCTTATATTTGTGGTTGATAGCAACGACAGGGACCGAGTTGTGGAGGCAAGGGATGAGTTACATCGCATGTTGAATGAGGTTAGTGTTTCTTTCTGGTTTTCTCTTGTATCACAGTAAGACATAAACAGCTTTCCGTAATTTGATTGAAACGTTGTTTGCAGGATGAACTGAGGGATGCTGTCCTCCTTGTGTTTGCAAACAAACAAGATCTTCCCAATGCAATGAATGCTGCAGAAATAACCGACAAGCTTGGCCTTCACTCTCTTCGCCAACGCCATTGGTAAAATTATCTTCTTTCTAGAAATGTGTCTTTAAAGTGGTTAGATTGATTACACAGTTTGGTACAATGTACCTTTTATGTTTTTTTTTCCCTTTAACAGGTACATTCAAAGCACTTGTGCCACATCTGGGGAAGGTCTCTATGAAGGCCTTGATTGGCTCTCCAACAACATCGCTAGCAAGGTAATTAGCTAATTAGTGTACCTCATTTTGTAAAATTAAGTAGAAGATTGAAAGGAACTCTCTTTTGAAAGTATTGATAACACCCTTAGGGGACTTAGATTGTATGCTCATTTCCCTGTGCAAATTCTGGCGACGATAGTATATATATTCATTAATGTGAATATTGATCAAACCTTCATTTTGATTTGAGTAGGCATGATGAGGGTGCTTGAACACTTTTTTTGCACTTGGAAGAGACCATTAGTGATTGTGGAGAAGAAAGAATATAAGAAGAAACAAGTATTATGTCTGATTTTACAACGGTTTATAGCATCCGTGAATGTTTGTGTTATTGTGTGTGTGTAGTTTCTTAACGTACCTCTACTTTTTTACTCATTAAGTGGATTTGTGATAGTTTTTTTGTTTATCTTTACCTTTTCGTTTTTACCCGTTCCTTCACGCCTTCATCAAGTATTCAACACAAAGATCTAGAGTAGTACACAAAAGATATGAGATAATCCATTCATTATCAATTATCCATGAAACTTAACATAGTGAAGAGTGAGGTAGACCCAAGTATATGGGCTTAAATAGGATATACTGCTCATTCTAGAATGGCAAAGTAAATTACATTAATGATCTTAGATCTAAAATAGACCGAAAGAACTATAATTTCAAGAAAGCGATCCTTGAATTTTAACACCATTAATAAGTAGATTCATATTCCAACATACTTGGGTAAGTTCGAGGACCGATATGGTGGCTTTCAAGAGAACTGGACCTGAATCTTGCATTTGGAAGAAGCTCTAGGAAGCATAAGCAGATCTGTGGTGAGTTGCAACTTTTTCTTGTTGCCCTGTGCGGAAACACAAACTTTAACAAGCTCAAGACATGACAGTTCCCCCCAAGAAACACTTGATTTTCCCCAGCTCTCTGGTGCTTCCCTCATACTTTGTTAATTCTAGAACCTTCACAGGAGATGACAATATACAAGAATTTGCCGAGAAGCATGGGCAGACAGGTTAGGATTCATCAACAAGAGGAAGGCTTATTAGATATTGTAAATTCCGTTTCTCCAACAATCTTTTGAGGTTTTGGATCATACCTTGATGACTAGAGTCTGTAAAGTTGGACATTTTTTCATCAGAGACGGTAGAGACGAATTGAAGAGCTAGATAAACAGAAGTCCGCTTTAGATGTAATAGATAAATGATAGAGGTTTTTGAACACAGGTACTGCTTCATGGAAGATCCTAAATATCTGAAACCAAAACACAAAACGAGCTAGTCATCATCAACCAATTGCAATCTTTAGATCAAAATCTAAAGGAACATTTTCAAATCGTAACCAGATGGTCGATCTCATGAAGCTTAAGCATATTCATCTATCTTCTCAACATATTACAGAGAGAAGAAAAGAAGTTACCTCCACAATTGGAGAATTTAAGCTAAGGATCTTGACATTTCTTAATCCCTTAATCAGATTCGATGGATCACAATTACCAGGATTCCCACCTACCATTTCGATATTGAGCTTAGCTTCAACAAGGGAGTCAAGATTAACAACTGGATACTGAAGCTGAAGATAGCCAGAGTATTCCAAGTAGACAATATTTGGGTGATCAAAACTCATGCTCCCCAACTCATCACTATAAAGACAGTAAGTGGTAAGTCTCTTTAGAGTTGGACCGGAGAGAAAGTGAGAACATTTCCAAAATTTCAACATAATATAACCAATGATAAGTTCCTCAAGCAAAGGGCAAGCAGAAATAAGCTTTTCAAACGCTCCAAGATTATCGAACCGAACAAAATAGAGAGAAAGAGACTTGAGAGCTGGAAGGGATGCACTCTCAGGAAGCATAGGAATTCGGTGTCTACCCAGTTTCAACTTAACAAGTGTCTTGCAAGCAAAGACCTCGAAGGTAGTAAATCTTGATCATGTGGTACGCTAAGATAAAGATCCAAGACACCACCACGTTTCAGCACATTGCGTATCCATCTGACCCAAATCTGTTTAGACCTTCTAGACTGAAACTCCTTATGGCAGAATTGCGTGAAACAGTCAACATTCGCTCCACGAAATCTATGAAATTTTGTTGCGGTTTGGTCTGAAGGCAACGAGATCACGCCATCTCTTGGAGAGAAGGGAAGTCGAAGCAGCTTTACCAATGAAGAGGAAGGACAAGATCTTCTTGATAATAATCTCATCTGGGAGACCGCTGATCCTATCCATTCTCTCGCCAAACCCTAGAGATCCCTTTTTCACTACTCTAGAGAGAACCCTAGTTTTTTCATAAGACTGTAAACACAATGGACCATAATTAGGCGTCTGTTTTTTCAATCGTTTATTCAAAAAAATATTGGTGTTTTTCTACGTCCGGTTCTCAATTCGGTTATTTATACGGTTTATGCCGATTGATCACCTAGACCGCACCACTTTTCTAGTCTTTTACTTTTTTTAGCCCCCCCCCCCCCCTACGTTTAGTTTGTGTTTCAAATTTTCAATTCAGATTATGGTTTGGTTTCTATCTTTTGCTTTTCAATTTTAGAAAAAAAGATGACCAAAGTAAAACTGAATCTAATATTGGATATTATGTAACAGATCCGACAATGAATACCCACACATATGAAAGACATGGAACACACGAAAGATTACACAAGAAATAAAGGAACTTTTTGTTTTTGATGTTTTACAGAATGAAGAAGACTTAACACACAATTCTATATGATGTGTGAATTTCACTGAGTAACTACTACAACTACAGCCGCACTTGCTAGATCAATCAAAAGAGTTTTTTGTTTGTTTACCGTTTCTTTCTGTACTGCCACACACGATTTTGTTTATTGCCTCGAGATAAAGCTAGCGGGATCATATGAAATCACCGCAATGTTTGTGTAAAATTTGGAATTTAGTCATCAGCTGGATCTTGTGGGGATTCTTCAGCAGTGCGTTTGATTATGATGACTGGGCATTCTGCATGCTTCACACAAAATTCACTCACAGTTCCAACAAATACCCTGTCAATTAGTAACAAGAGTTAATTGATTACACAATAGTCTACGAATTCAAGCTCAAGCTCTAATAACATACATAACCTAAGTGCAGGGGCTTCTCCTAAACTTATGTCAAACCTACATTAGTTAAATCACGATTATCGCGGTAAAAAGTACAAAGAATAAGCAGGTGTGATCATATGCATCAAACAGGTTGCATAAACTCATTCTTGATCTCTGTTTTTCCCAAACCCACAAGTCATTTGAAACTACATAATGAAAACATCAATAGAAACTTTTAAATCCCTTGATTGGCATGTCAAATCGAAAGAATGGTTCTAGGTGGTTAAATCCATGCCAAAACAACCAAAGGACTAGTTTATACGGGTACAGACTATAAAGCAATAAGTCTATTTGAGAAGTGTGTAAGGATTGTACATACTTTTGGAATGGGCCGAGACCACGACTTCCCACAACCAGAAAATCTGGCCTAACCCGCCTCACTTCATGACAAATCACTTCCGTTGGATCACCTTTCCTGATCCAGGCCTCGCACCCAACCTATAAGTATCATAGCCATCAAAATTATGAGATTATGATACAATTGATTGACATAAAGACAGATTAAGGATCTATTCCACGAGTTAAAAGAGTCTTTTACCCCAATCTCATGACATTTTTTAACGAAAAACTCAAGTAGGTGAAGTCCCTTTGCCTTGTTACGCTCTCTCATTTGACGGAAATCATCAGGAGAGGCATAAATGCTGTCCATGTCATCAAAACCTGATTCCCAATTCATGATCAAAACAAGTAAGACCATCTTCATATATGTTATTGAACAAGCAAATTGGTGTCTCACATTGTTCACAACCAAGGGGGAAAACAACACCAAAGTAAAATCAAGGAAGCTCTATTATATAATCTTTACTTTAGCAATCAAAAACAAAAATTAACTACTAAGAAAACTCACTAAATGATTAGGTTTACAAACCGATTTACTAGACACTGAGGCTTAAGGAACATAATTATAATACAGAAAACTTTGCACTCCTGATTTCTTCTATTCTGTTTTCTTCTGCTATTCTGTTTTCCAGAAAAAGAGTAAAGCAGAATTCGATATAGATTCTTCTAACTAACCAATACGACTAGATCATTTCTTCAATTCAACGAAAATACCACCACAATTACAACAAGAACTAAAGAGAGCAAGTCAAATCCCTAAAAAAGAGATAATCTAGAGCAAATTACTCAACGCCAGTGGTAATAAACAATATCTATCAAGAGAATACAGCATACACAGAGCAGAATCACAAACACAATCGTTCTGAAACTTCGATTGAAAACTCTTAAGACCATCACTCGCCTTCACAAACTTCAATTGAAAACTCTACGACCTAATATCATGTAGAAACACCGAATTTAGACTGTAGTTATCTACTCGAACCCTAAACAGATCCGTTCATGAATCATCATCACTGAAACCAAACGATTGACATTACACGCACAGATACATATGCAAATTCAAGTATCGAGATCGCGAAATAGACGATCAAAAGAGAGAGAGAGAAATAACCGTCTTCGTCTTGAACTTGTGCGTGGAGCAAGAGCAACTTGAATCCAGAGGTATTAGACCGAACGATCTTCTTCAGTGTCCACTCGAACGCTTTTTTGCTGCTTATCGACGCGTGTGGATAGCCTTTGATCGTCGACTCGTTCACCGCAACCATAACTCGAGTCGGCTCGTTCTCCATTTTTTCACCG